TGTATATGTATGTATGTATATATATATGTATATGTATGTATGTATGTGTATGTACAGCTTAAACAGCATTGTGTCGCAAGCACTCAATGCAGCTCTCTTCTGCCAGGAAACAACTGCTGTAGCTATATCTTATGCCTGCAGTGCCAAAAACAGGCTGTGGTAAGAGAGAGGGAAAAATACTTAGAACTGTGACACAAGGAGGTAACTAGTAGAGGGAAATTACAAACTAAGTGTCCCAGGAACACTGGGAGGGGCCCAGATCTGAATGTGACATGGAGATGGGGTTGATATGGATTTTGACATGAGAGACAGACGAGATAAAAGAGGTTAAAATGTTGGACTGCTCCTTAAACCACTTGTGGCTTCTTAAAAAGAAAACAGACAAGTGTCAGAGAGAGAAACATCTTTTATTAATAATTGGTCAATACAAATTAACTTACCAACAGTGTTGGGGACACTGAAAACAACCACCACGCATGAATCATTACACAAAGGTTGGTTAGAAGTTAACTTTATACAGTTTGGGTAAAATCCACTGTACTGGAACCCTTGAAAATAGTAAATGCAAAAAAACAATGAACTTTATTTCAGTTGAGGATCAGCAAACATACACATTGATCTGCAAGCTACTGGAGTCTGTGGATGATCTACCATACATATTACGAGCTCAAAATAGAAGGCATAAGCAGTTAAGTCACATGTTGCATGAAATTAACTTTAACTCCTTCACTCTAGATGTGCCTGTTAGGCTGTTTAAAGCTTGGTGGTAAGAGCAAACCAGTGCAACACTCATTGTGGTATGGGAAATCTCTCGATAGTTTCACAAATATATGTGTCCCAAACCACTAAATAGTGAAAACAGCAGATTTCACGATACAGTTTCAGACTTTACATGCAGTGATGTTTCGTACCTTCAAATATTCTCATGCTTGAAGTGCATTGCCTGAAATGCCTCCCAGAGATCTTTAACCTTAACCAACAGTTAACTGATGAAATCAGCGCAGCAGTCAACATGTCTGAACTGTTACCAGGTTGTCAGTAAAGTCCCTCCGGAAACAACAGTGTCGTCTGAACCCCTTAAATGCAGTGAGGTGAGTTGAACAAATCAAACTATATTCAAACAACTTCACTGTTAATATACCGTATGTTGTGCAGACAGATCTCTGCTGCTTTACACCCATACAGTTTGTCGTTTCACACCTTTTAGCAAGATGAACACGTTCGTGGTGGAGCGTCATCTTACAAGCCAGGGTAAACTTTGTATCACCCAACAAATAATCACCATGAATCTATATATCTAACTACCCCTCCACCACTTTACGAAAAAGCCAACAGAGCAGTCTGATGGCTTGTTGGTTTAATGTGCCCATCAAAGATGTAAAATTGTGTAACATTTTATTTCTATGGTGCACACCATGCAAGCATCACATCCTGGGTTCATATTTGGCCGAGGACTATTTGCTGCATGTTATTCTTCTCTCCCTCCCCCCGCATTATTTCCTGGCATAAACTCCACCAATAAAGGCAAAATGCCAAAAAAATATTCAAAAAGAATAAGAGAGACTGCCTGGACTTGATGAAAACAGTCGATATGACTTCTCATCAGCCAAATCAGTCAGAAAGTTAAGGAAGTGACGATATAGGGCTAGTTGATGCGAACGATAAAGGCGCGTATCTTGACAAAGAGGTGAGGTTTAGCAGTAACGACTAAAATGAGCAGTAACGTTACAAGAGCCAGATTAAATAAGCTAAATTCAACAATTTAATGCTTGGTCCACACAGTCTATTAACAGCGTAGCGCATTGCTATCGCCAGATGAGTGACAACTTTGTTTGGCTCATTTTCTGTCACAGAGTAGCATTAAAGCATGGTGGAATTGGCTAGCTAGCTAACTATCGTACAGCTAGCTACGCTAGTTAGCTAGCTTGTTTTGTACTAATGTACTAAATTTGTTTAATGACCACGAAAAACAGTTCAATGTCTGTTCTCCTATTCTATTTCTATGTCACGTTAACATGGTTAGTTAAGTATTGTTTGGTATCAAAAGTCGGATAGATTGAGGGAATGTAAGAAATCTTTAGGGTCACAAGAAATGATTCATATCCTGATATATGAAAAAAGAATCTTGATAACATTTTCGCCACATCACCCAGCCCTATAACGTTAAGAGCAACGCTCCAGTGCACTCCAAAACAATCATTTTTCACATGCAGACTAAATCGCTGCACTGACACATGCTGGAAAGTGACGTCATTAATTCACTTCTGTATCCAGTCATATTTACAAAACAGGATGCACACTAGCACACACATACGGTACAGTTAGTGTACAGTGTGCATTATGTGTGCTGTTATAATCCCAGTAGAGGAGGAAGTAGATCAAATCTCTGAACATTGAAACCAACACAAGGAAACCCAGCAACCACTCCTCCCAGCTTCATCCCATCAAGGCAACTGGCTGAAGGTGACTGACAGCACACCTGCCTTTGTTACCTTGTCTTTCATTTATATATATCTGTTTCAATTACGTTTATTGAAATGAAAAATAAAGAAAATGAGAAGATAATTCATCCTGCTCATCTTTTGCCATCAAACACAGCATTGTGTCTGTATTCCATCTGCATGCATTATAAGCTTTAAAAACACATTTTTATCTTGTTTTTAAATAACTATTATGAAGTAATTTGGACACATGAGTGCGTCCTAATCACTTAACATGCAGTGTATAGACTGGAACACATTTTGTCTATTGCTTTACCTATGTTTTGAAAAGCCGGCTTCATTTTTTTGAGTCACATAACTAGAAATTCAACAGCAGAGCTAACGACAACAGCTAAGGACTTCAAGCTTCAAGCTGTCTGTGGATAATCTTAGACTGGGCAGAATACCCTCAACCATCTATTCCTTCATTTTCTTGGTTTGAAGCAGAACTAACAGAATGGCACTCAGCAGTAATCACCAATAGTGTGGATAAGCATTATTTGACTGGACTCATTCCAACATCACAAATTGCCATTCAGTTGCAACTGTACAGCCGGCCAGCCTCTTGAAATTAAAAATAAAGACTGGGTTTATAGATACAACTAGCAAAGTATTTCTTTCATTTACTATTGACCGCGATTACAACAGAGGGCTGAGTATATACATATGTGGGCCTGCATATGCCATCAATGTGCATCTGCTCCTCATACCTGCAGCTTGCACAACGAAGCGGACGAGCCACTTGAGAAAATCCAGAAAGCTGGATACACGGCTTCAGCAAAGGGGAACACAAAGGAGTGGAAGGGATATGCCCTGTCTGCCACGTTATAGAACGTAGCAGTACCCTCCTCACAATCCAACAGCACACCTATGCGCTTTGGATTGGGATTGACCAGCACGGTCTCACTGCTGTTATACCAAGCTGACAGCTTGACGTTAAACCACTCGACACACCAGGACTGGGCGTTGCGGCCCAGTCGACTGGTGGGACCTTTGCGGTCAATGCTGCTGTAAGCCAAGCCGACGCCAATGAAGTTGTTGCTGCTCAGTTTGACTTCCCAGTAGTGGCGTCCTTGAGAGAAACCCTTGGAGGCTAGCACCTGGGAGCAGACGGAGAAGCGTTCAGGGCAGTCAGGGTAGTTTGTGTGTTCATCTGAGACAGACGCCTTAGTGAAGCCCTCACTCAGTTCAATGCGTTTGTGGGCCGTCTTTGGATCCAGAGTGAGCACCGTACCATCTGGGAAGGACGGAAAACAAACAAACATTCAAATAACACACACGTTGCTACTAACGTAGGAGGACACCTGCCGCACTCATTCACTTACATTTCAGAAGTTCGGCTCTTTTTTCAGCTGATGTTATGTTTGGGGGAATGTCCGAGGTTTCTACAACAAAAGACAAAAAATAAATTAGTACTCGGGCTCAGGGATAACAAGTAAAAGCTTTAAAAACACAGAGCTTACACATTAAAGTTTGTTTACAGCATATGTCAAAACAAAGTTTTATAAAGCCTCATGTGGCTCCAGAGAGAGCTGCATAAAGTCTGATAAATTGACTCAAGTGATGTCACTTGATTGACTTGTATTGTGGGTAATTTATAGTGCCAGGTTTTGACAAAGAAAAATAATGTATGGAATAAAGAAGATGATATGGCTGGTTCTGCAGCATCAGTTTTGATATATATATTCATATAATTATTTTTTAACTCTCCATCATGAGTTTGACAATGTAGCAATACTAACTCGGTGGAGTACTTAATGGATGGTGTCTACCTGGTGTCTCTTTGGATTCAGCTGCAGGAGTACAGTCTTTGGTTTTGTCTTTCCCATCAAACGCCAAAAGGTCCTCCATTGATTGGTTCCTTTTCCCCATATTGTCTTCTGTGGCTTGGGGAGGTTTTTGTTCTGATAAGATAAAAAACATAGTACGTTTGTTATGTAGCTGCAGTGATCATTTTGAGAAGCTGTTAAGTGCAATCAACATGCATTAATTAAAACATATACGAGTTCTCACACCAAACAATGAGCAGGTAGAAGCAGTAACATACAACCAAACAGTCTTCCCTCATTGATATTAATGGGGTGGACGAAATATTTAAAACATGTCTCAGTATATTGCATTAGAGTTCTAGAGCACCAAAACTACAAACTCGAAAAGGACCATTAAGTTGAATCAACACCTTTCTCAAAAACTGAACATGATACCCTTCATGCAGGTACGATTTGTAGTAATAGAATAAGAGATACACAATCCACTTTTTCTTGTAGTTCGGATCTGATACCTGAATTTGAATATGTGCAGATAATGCTATAATTCCTATATCAGAGCTCTTTTTGCATGTCATTTGCATTGCATTGCAATTTTGCCTTTAATTTAAATGTATTCCAAAGACATTTATTTTAATTGTAAAGTAAGTAGCCTTCATGGCAACTATGGCAACTCCTTTAATGTTTCGAAAAACTTCAAATCAAGTGCACAGCAATGCCGTCACAGTCTGGCTCTGTTTCTAGAGGCCTTCAGACTTTTTTGCATTGTATCTTTTTAGTTGCTTATCGTAGTTCAGTGGTCTTGAGGATTATTGTTTGCTCCTTCATACAATTCATTCGTTTGTCATGTTTATTTTTGAGATACTCAGCTTATGAGTCGTCTCTGGTTTTACTTCCTGCCTTTTGTCTTTTCCTGCCTTTGTGATTGTCTGTCCCGCCCTGATTTGTTCCACCTGTGTCTCATCACCCTGCTGTCTTTGTGCATTCAGTCTGTATGTTTCCCCTGCGTCAGTCAGTTTGTCCTTGCTCCTAGTGAGCAGTGGTTCACCTGTCTTCATTGTGTTAGTTAAGTGTCTTTAGTTTCTACTTTATTTTCTTGTGACTGGCCTTTGTAGATTTGCTTACTGCCCACCTGTGGACTTTCAGATAGTAAGCCTTTTGCTTTATCAAATTACTGTACTCTGCTTCCTCATTCTTATCTGTGCTTGGGTCCACGACTGTTATTCTTGAAATGTGACAAATGCATTATCAAATACTAGCAAGTAGATTTTGATACAATATACAATCTCCTTCATACGGTTTTCTAATGAATATTTGTAATAAAAGCTTTGTAGAGAAAGTGAAAGAATGTGTAAGCGTGCATCTGCGCACATTATGTTTGAGAGAAAGTTAATGTTTTGGTGACGCAATTTCTGTAATGGTGCAACCCTTGATACCAATATCGGATCAGTCCCTTCTCTAATAAGAATGCATTAGTTTCCGCTAGATGTACCTAATGAACTGGCAACTGAGTGTTACCAATTAGTGTGATAATAAATATTTAAAATTTACTTACTTTGAGGTTTCTTCTTTGGACCCGTTTTGGGTTGGGAAACTGGACCTGTCCATTGTGGCTCTGAGATTAAAAAAAATAAAAAAAAGAATAGGCAAAAGAAAGGCATCCTTTTACAGTCATGTCTAATAAAATGCGTTTCAGTTTTATTTTCCTCGTATCATAAAGCATTTGTGTTGGACAGGTGAACATATGAGATGACCAGCTAACATGTACAACCTCCTTATAAGCTCCTGAGAACATGACACAGGTTCATTATATTAGTCTTTTAATAATTTTAGTGACTTAAAACAGTTACCCCAACCACCACACAACGCAGCATCAATTTGAGGAAGATTTTAAGATCAATTAAGAATAGTGGTATTTTGATTTCTGATTCCACCATCAGCCAACTCACCAAGAATGCCAGTGTTAATATCTGCAACAAAATAATTGCTTACTTTCTAAATGTATCTTGAACTGTAAAATTTCCCACTTATCTAAGTTTTTAGTAGAAAAGTGATACAATCACAGTGCAGATTGGTGCACTCTGTGTTGCTGTCAGCCCATTGTGTGTATGTATACTTATATCTTACTTGTCCTATGTCCTGCCATAAACGGAGGACCCATGAAGGAGCCTGGTGGATACTGATGTGGATTCCAGCCTGATTGCTCCATATAGGGAGGGTTACGAAATGGCTGGAATCCCAATTGATTGATGGGTGGACGACCTGGACTGTGGGCCCTGGGCTGTCTTTTCTGCTTTGGAGGCCTGGTTACTTCTGAAACAGACGAGGTGAAACGAGAAGACATTTTGTCAGATGTATGAAGGTATTTTATCAAAACTTCATAAATTTAGCATTTTTTTCTGCGACCTCAGAGTTGTGCAGACACGTGTGTGAATGTCTATCATACACATGGGCAGATATTTTATTATCGGTAGAGATGAATATACCAGATTCTTGCTGACATCCAGTACTTCCAGAACTTGCGGTTGCTGAGCCAGTAACTGCATCTATGAATGGTAAATGGACTGCATTCATATAGCGCTTTACAATTTGCCTCTCATCCCATTCACACTCTCACACTGATTAAGTAAGCTACAATGCTACCAATGTGGAGACATTTGGGTGTCCCACTCAAAGACATTACCATGCGTGAAGAACCCTGCATTTAGTGAACGACCCGATCTACCTGCTGAGCCACAGCTGCCCCAGTCAGTCCCAGTAGCCCCCCACCACAACAACGAAGCATTAATAAAGTCAACACTTTCATTTAATCTCCACGACACACAAACTCACCAGATGCAATAATGTCAGTGTTAGGTTCTGCAACACAATTGGACAAGATTGGCTTCATTATAATTTCATAATACATTTCCAAATGTAAAATCTCCCACTAACAATGTAGCTGCACATTCACCTGGTTTAAGTTTGGGTAGTCTGGCCTCAATAGGCTGTTTAAGGATCTCTGTCAGATACTCCTTCAGGTGAGCAGCAAAGGCCTGTGTTGCGGTCACCTTCTTGGAGTCCAGGGTGATTCGAGGGGTGTAAGGTTCAAAGGTGAATGCTGGGGGCAGGTTAAATGAAGCCTGAGAATAGAGAAACACATTGTTGTTTTCTTGCTGGAACATGGTTTTGTTGAGATAAAGCTATACTATTTTCTGCCGTGGACATAATATACTGTAGTTTAAATATCATTGGAATGAAGAATAAAGTTGTCAGATTAGAGTGTGATGGTTGAAACCAACAACATCTAACATATTCCTGTGTTTCTTTTCAGTCATTGGCACAATCTCAACCCGGACCCTACAGCATCCCTCTCAGCTCAATTAAATTAAAACGTCTACCGCAACTAGAGAAGGGTAACTATTATAAAAGGTGCAATATACAATATTCAGAACATTAATATAGCAGCAAACAACTATTTGCGATGTGACGATATAGTGAAGTAATGTCTACCTGAGAAGAGAAGGAAATCGCTCACCCTCTGTGTGTGTTGTTAGCCGAGCTTCTCCTTGCTTTGTGTACATAACCTCAGCGCATGTTTGTGCATGTGAGCGTGCCCACAGCTCACAGCTGCCGATCTGCAATGCTTTCCTACGTTACAGCTGCGTGCGTCATCTCGGAAGCTCCGGTTCCCCCTGACGTAAACACTGTTAGCTCTGTCAGCATGTTTGTCGTAGTTTGTGCTGTTAGCCGTGAGCTGCTGGCTTATGTTGAAAGGCAATATAAATGCTCTCAGTCCCTTATATTGCACCTTTAAATGTCTATTTTAGTTTGATTAGTTTTAGTAAATACTTGTAAAGGTAGGTAGTCGTAAGGAACTGATTAGTAGGGGCAGCATTGAGGCCGACTCACTGTTGGAGGATTTTATAATCCACTTCCACTCCCCACTAATTGTTAGGGGCTGATGTGGATTTGGGCCATCCCGTCTCCTGTACATTTGAATTGGTCATGTGTGAATAAGTATCGCATACAACTCCACTTTAAAAAAAATCTAAAAATGTCCTTTAACCCGTTAACAAAACATGCTGTATTTGCTTTACATTTAAAACTATAAAAGTCAGCTTCCAGATTCTGTGCGGATTGATGATCACAGTTGCCTCACCTGTAGGAAGGCCAGAGTTTGGGACTGACTCAGCAGACTGTGGATCTCTTCTCTGGCTTTGCTCATACTGCCAACGTTCTCAGTGAACTTTTTCGCGAGACCCTTGAGTTTAGTGTGACCACTCTCCAGCTCGCGGTCCACTGCATTCAGAGCTTCACGCTCCTCTCGTGCCAACATGTCTCGCATCTGCTGATAGTCAGCTGCCAAAGCCTTCTTCCTGTTGGTCGCTGAGTCCTTGGGGACAATCATGAGAGGATCCATTAATAGATCAGTAGGTCACAGGACAGGTAAACACTGGGCTTAGACAAAAAAAGCAGAAATACCGTACAATACAAAAACTCAGTGTTATGGATTACAAATAAACTTGAATCTCTTATCAATCAATTTCTTTTTTCTAGCTTCTTCTTTCAGCGCATTATTTGTGCCAGTGAATGAAACGGTGAATGCTAAATGTCGAGGGTTACCTTTAGCTTGTCCTGCATGACACCGATTTGAAGTAAAACATTCTCATTCTTCGTAATCTTCCCGTCCAGCAAATCCAAGTTGCCCCTCAGGTCGGACTATAGAGAAAGATGACTCATAACATTTTTTTCAGACAGAGACACACAGCTCAAAGACATTCAGGATTCACTTTACACAGAGCCCTGTCTTTCAAAGAAAGACCCATTATTGGGTGAAGCGCTAACTTCAGTTTAAAAAGGACAAGGAGATTATGCCCTCATTATCAAGCCTGCCTCCTCACTGGTCAAATCTAAAAAAACAAAAAAAAGAGCATCCCTGCTACAAATAGGCTTTTAAAAAATAAATTGCAAAATCCTTTTGAAAGCCCAAACAACTGTTTTTGAACTGTTTTCATTGGAACTAGTTTCTACCAAACAAAAGTCCCTAGGAAACTGTTGCTGTTGTGTTCTGTGGATTATGTCGACAGATGCAATGTTTCTGGAAGACACGTTGGTGTTGAATATATGAAATAAAACCTTCAATGCTGTGAGCGCACCACAAACAGAATTTCATTAACCTTCATTTTCAATTTCTCAATTAAGATTATTATGTATCGGCCAGATATCGGTGGATCCGTCTGACACACACACGCACCTCTTTCAGGTTCCTCTGCTCCTCGAAGGATATGAAGGAGCAGC